AAGGGGGGGAGAGAGAGAAGGAAGGGGGGGAAGAGAGAGAAGGAAGGGGGGGAGAGAGAGAAGGAAGGGGGGGAGAGAGAGAAGGAAGGGGGGGAGAGAGAGAAGGAAGGGGGGGAGAGAGAGAAGGAAGGGGGGGAGAGAGAGAAGGAAGGGGGGGAGAGAGAGAAGGAAGGGGGGGAGAGAGAGAAGGAAGGGGGGGAGAGAGAGAAGGAAGGGGGGGAGGGAGAATTAGAACCAAGCCCAGACCCAAGCAAGCAGTAAGTGCTTTCAAAATAATCTATGGGAGGCCCTGCATGGCACAGGCAGGAACATCAACTCAAGTTGGGGACGAGCTATTAACGAGCTACAGAATAAGCTTGCAGAAGCAGCTTCGAGAAGAAGAGAAACTGGTCTTAGGAACTGGAGCCCGAGGTCTTGATGGGCCTGTAGATACTATTGAACCCGGTGATTTATGTAGAGATCAGATCTCTTTTAGCTTCTCCACTAGGACCGACATGGGAAGGACCATTCCAAGTGCTGCTGACATCCCACACAGCAGTAAAGTTTAAGGAGCAGACATCCTGAATCCATCATCCAAGGGTGAAGAAAGCTCCTCAGCAGCAGTGGAAAACAACATCCACCGGACCCCTGAAGCCCCGCATCCAAAGATGGAACATGGACTAACCAAGCTAAGAACCTTTGCAATAATGTGGGTGGTGACTGTGCTGAAACCCACGGGAGTTGATACTTGGGAATGGCCTTGGTCAAAAGCCTGTTTTTGATATACAGGAATTATGGGAAAAGATTTACAGGAATGAATCCAGCAAGTGTCATCAAATATGACAACAGGGAATTGCAATGACATGAATCGGAACGGCAGCACTCAATGTGTAGACGGACGGTCGATAAAGGGAAAACAATCCACGTAGGTTGCAGAATCTTGAGTGCTAGCAATCGAAAAGATTTCCCTCCTTTAACCCAAGTGACTATGAGGAGATTTTCTGAACAAAGAACAGAACTCACAATTCTCCTCCTCCTCTGCTCTGCCCTGGGGAGGCCCCATCTGCAGTGCTGTGTCCAGTGCTGGGCTCCCCAGTTCAAGAAAGATGAGGAGCTACTGGAGAGAGTCCAGCGGAGGGCTACGAGGATGAGGAGGGGACTGGAGCATCTCTCCTACGAGGAGAGGCTGAGGGAGCTGGGCTTGTTCAGCCTGGAGAAGAGAAGGCTGAGAGGGGACCTTAGAAATG